GTATCACTACAGAAGTATATTGCCCACCCTTCCTTCTGAGGAGTGGCTGGTGGGTTTGAACTGCCAGCCTTCTAGTTAGCAGTCAAGTGCCTTAGGCACTATGCTACCGGAGCTCCTATGCCTGCCCTAGAAAACAGAGGATTAGAACCCATACAAGTCTATGTGCTTTTGTTCTTCCTCCCTTTTATAAATCGCCCAAAGCTCCCAGTGCAGGATGAGGCCCAGAGCAGAGCTCACATGCCAAAGCAAGTCTAGTGTGTTGTGTACACTATACAGGCAGTGATCCTCACGCTTCCCTTCCTCTCCCCCTTCTCTGTCAACACATGAGGTATGGCCAGACAGAAATGACTCAGAGCCAGTCCCCACCCTTAAGAAGCTTCTGTTCTACTTCCTGATTCCCATTCCAGGGACTGGAACTGCCCCCCCCCACACACTCAATCACTCTAGCCAGAGACCTGGAAGTCATCCTTAGCTCCTCCCCCTTCTTCATCCCTTCATCCCAACATTATCAAATCTTGTCCATTGCCTCTCCTAAATAGTTCTGGAGAACAGACTCCTCTGCAACCCCCATTGTGACCCCATCCTCCACCATTTCCAGGCTGGACCACTGCATTAACTGTCCTGACTGTTCTTCTACCTTCCAGTACACACAACACACACATTTAATTCTCACCACAAACTTATGAGGCAGTTACTGCTGTCATTATTCCCATTTTGCAGGCAGAGAAACTGAGGCACAGAGAAGTTAAGCAACAACTAGTCATTGGTGCAGCCAGGTTGGAATGTGCTGGGAATATGTTCAGCGCCCTCTTGGTGCAATCTGATTCTATCACTCTCCTCTTTAGAACTTTGAACGACTTCCACTGCCTGCAGGATAAGATGCAAACTCCCCACTTAAGTGAAGGCTTCTTTACCATATAGCCTCTACTTTCATGTCTGCCTCCCCTGGGTCACTCCTTGTGCCATGTCACATCCCTGCTGTTGTAAATTTCTTATGGTGTCTCAAATACATTATGCTCTTTGCTTTGGGCCTTGCACATACTGTTTCCTCTGCCAGAAGCACTGTTGCCCTTCCTTTCCCATCTCTTTGCCTGGTTAATCTCTTTTCATACTTCCTGTTCCAGTTTAGAGGCCATGTTCTCCAAACTTCAGTTGGGGACCCCTTTGATTATCCCACAATACCCTGTACTTCCCCCACAGTCACCTTGGATGATCATTGCATGTTCACTTGTCCAAAGACATTGCCAGGCATGAAGGAATGAATGAATGAGTGAACAAAGTCTAGTAGTGAGCCATTGGACACCCATCCCAAAGTAGAAAAATACAGTGCTAGACCAAAATGCAGCAATGCACTGTAGGAACTCCAAGGAAGGAGAGAGGAATTCTGGGAGAAGAATTGTGGCTCTCTAGCCAGGGCCTAAGGATTCTAATAAGGGTGTTCTTAACAGTGTCTCCTTTTCCTCTGCTTCCAGCTCTCTCCTTCCCAAACTCTTTATTGCACCCTCCACCCCAAGATCCCTCTCTACCACCCTGATGCTCACCTACCACCCGAAGAACCATGGAGGTGGAGCGGTTGCCCTGGGTATTGCTGGCCACGCAGGCGTAGGTCCCGGCATCTTGGAAGCCGACATGTTTGAGGTTATGGGTCAGGACTTTAAGGTAACGGTTATCATGGAAGTCAGCTACTTGATAACTTGTCAGCTGCAACCAAAAGGAATAGAGATGGTTTACCAAAGTTGTTTAGGAAATTAGAAAGATTTAGGTTTAAGTCATCAGCCTCTATGGATAATAATGTGCCTGTCCTTGGGCAAGGGACTGAAATTTGAACCTCAGTTTCTTCATTTACAAAATAAGACTATTAGTCCTAGGACTGTGGTGAAGATTAACTGAAGTAATGTATGCAAATGACTAGGGTTTACAGTAGGCCCAGTATGTGTGTGTGTGTGTGTGTGTGTGTGGTGGATATTCTTAGTAGCAGCCTAGTTAGGTTTTTTTTTTTTTTTTAATTTTTTTATTTTAAGAGTTTGCTTTACATTCAACATTACATGTACATTAAGTTTCACTCTCCAGTTATCATGCCCAACCTTAACCCAACCTCCTCCCCTCCCTGTCCAGTAACCCTCCCCCTGTGCCCCTCATAGTTATGCGCACTCCTGTTTGTCCTGCATTTCCTGCTGTGAATGTTACCCCTCTGGTAACTCGTGGTCCATTGCTCCAAGGGATGCATTTCCATAAAGTATATGGGTACGTCACCCTGGGTTGAGTGGTCTGCATGTATATCTGGTTTACTATTGGGCTGAGAGCCAGCCCTTGGGAGTGAGCTTTATTCCAGGCCCAGAATGTATCCCAGGACCATAGTATTGGAGGTCTCACCAGACTCCATCTGACCAGTAATTCTGGTCATTATTGAGTTTTTGAATTTTGTTCAATGTTTTTCCTCCCACTCTATCGAGGATCTCCAGATTTGATCCTTTCCTGAGTGATTGGATTGGTAGCCAGACACCATCTAGTTCTTCTGGTCTCTAGGGCCATCGTGTCCTAGGGTCGATTGCTTCCAAATGCCCCCTTTTTTTTTTGTTTGTTTGTTTTTTGCACTCTTCTTTGCTTCTGACAATAGGAGACCATTAGCTGCATCTTTGATGGCCACTTGAAAGCTTTTAAGACCCCAGTCCTACTCACCAATGTAGGATGAGGAACAAGGCTTTTATGTATTTTGTTGTGCTGATTGAGTTTGGTGTCCCCCAGTACTATGGTCCTGAGACAGTAGATCTGCTGGATCTCTCTCCCACACCAGTGAGTTTGGTTTGGTTTGAGTACTGTTCCTTCCTCAGAATCCTCTCTCTCTCTCTCTCTCTGTCTCTCACCCAAAGTCTTTATGGAAAAATCCTTAAAACTAACTAACTCACTGCTGTCAAGTTGGATCTGACTCATAGTGAACCCTCTTTGGGTTTCTGAGGAGGTATAGATCACTAGGGAAGTAGATTGCCCAATCTTCCTTTCAAGGAGTGGCTGGTGGATTTGAACTGCCAACCTTCTGGTTAGCAGTCAAGCAGTCAAATGCCTTAGGTACTATGCCACCAGAGTTCCCAGAAGGAAAAAAAAAAAAAAGCCCTTACTTGTCTGGTTTCAAAGGTAGCCTAGGAACCCCTTGCTTAGTCACAAGTGAGTTGACATCTGGTCCCTTTTTACAGATTCAGGCAAAGGTCATGGGTTAATGGGGTAGCGTACTGCACCCTTCCTCCACAGGATTCAGCACCATGAGCCTAAGTCCTAGTTTTGGATCAGCTACCAGTTATAAGTGGGATCTTGGGCAAACCTGCTCCCTTCTCTGGGCTTGGGCTGGGCCCTCAGTCCAAACAGCCAGTTTGGGATAGGGCTGGGGGCTCCACCCTGCAGGGCCTGGTTGTGCTTGGAGGACAGGACCCTGCTGTCTTCCCAGGGACTGACCTTGGTGTCTCCATGTTGGAGGGAGATGTCAATGGCAGGGTCCACGCTGCTGGCTGAGCACACGATCTGAGCAGACTCCCCTTGAATCCTCACCAACTCAGCAGGTTCCAGGGTCAAGGCAGGAGGCCCTGAGGCTGAGGTCAGGGGATGAATTTATAAGCAACCTGCTCCCTGCCATGGGCCAGGCCACTCTCCCACACCAAATCCTCAGAGTCAGCCTTGGCCCTTCGATTTCCCCCTCAACCACTCTGACAGCAAGTCCTATGTCCAGATGGAAATGTCTTCCATCACCTGCCTCCACTACCATCCTCTGCTCTGGACTCCTCCAACAGCCACCTTGTAGGCTTCCCTGTTGTCCCTTCCACCCCCCTACAACCAAGACTCCTCACAGCTGACAAAGCGATCTCTTAAAAATGTAAAACGGATCATGCCACTTCCTGTTTAAACAATCTGTGGCTTCCAGTCACTCTCAGAATAAAAGCCAAAGGCCTTTCCACAGCCCCAGGCCCTGATATTGACCACCTAACAGCTGCCACCTTTTGTTCACTGCGCTGGAGCCATGCTGGCCTTCTTCCGTACCACAGGGTCTTTGTACTTGCCACTTCCATCTGGAAGGCTTTTCCTCCCATGCTTGAATGAGTGGCTGTTTTTATCCTGAGGTTTTTTAGATCAAAAATTCCTCAGAGGCCTTCTGTGACCAGCTTAGCTGAATTACACTCCCCACACCCAGCTTTTTCCAGTTTGATTTCTTGTTTAATACAATTTGTGCTTATTTTCTTTCTAGTCTGTCTCCCTCAATAGAATATCAAGCCTGTGAAAGCAATATCCCCAGCAGCTAGCATAGTGCCTGATACATAAAATAATAATAATAATAAACCAAACTCACTGCCATTGAGTTGATTCTGAATCATAGTGACCCCCTTTGGGTTTCTGAGGAGGTAAATCTTTATGGAAGCGGATTGCCCCATCTTCCTTCTGAGGAGTGGCTGGTGGGTTTGAATTGCCAGCCTTCTGGTTAGAAGTCAAATGCCTTAGGCACTACACCACCAGAGCTCCTTGCCTGATACACAGTAGGCATTAAATTAACATTTGTGACTGTTGCTGTTGTTGAAAGATACTGTAGTACAGTTTCCTGAAGTCCTAAGACATCAAGGAGCTCACCCAGGGTCACTGAGCATGTCATGGCAGAACTAGGGCCCATGACTCTTGGCTCCAAGCCACCCCAGGGCTCTACAGGATGAAGGTGGCAGGAAAGGGTGCTAATGGTCTCCTGTGCCCATGCACCTGGGCCTTTGATGTCCCAGGCAGGTTTAGCCACCTCAGACCAAGCTGCTCCTTTCTGACTCTGGTCCTCATTAAACTCAAAACCAAACTCAATGCCACTGAGTGGATTCCACCTCATAGTGACCCCCATTGAGTTTCCAAGCCTGTAAATCTTTACAGAAGTAGATTGCCTCCTTTTCCTCCTGTGGAGCAGTTGGTGAGTTTGAACTATTGACCATTTGGTTAGCAGCCAAATGCCTTAACCACTACACCACCAGAATCTATCTCAAGCCTAGGTCCTGAGCTTGGGGCTCTGTTTGCTCTTACCAGTCCTTCTAGAAATTCTGTCCACAGCCTAGGATGGGAGAGGGTGACTCTTCCTTCCTCCCACCACCACTCTTCCCATCCACAGTGAGAGCTGTCTTGTGTGCCCATTCCCACTCCTGTCTCTTGGCTCACTCCACCAAATCATGTACCCAAGGCCCAGCAACAGACTGGTACCACATGGCAAATCCCCATCTGAGAGTGTGGGAGAGTTTCAGGACTCCTGTTGTGCCCAGAACACTCAGAGCCAGGCCTGTTCCCACTTCGCATGGTTGTACCTGCTGCTTCCCCTGCAGGAGCAGGTGATTACCTGCTTCCTGTCTGTCATTCACCTCTCAGCGCAAATAAAATGTCACTTCAAAGATCCTTCTCCCCTCTCACAGACACTCTCCATTCAATTCCTTTGTTTTCTTCATTCCATAGCAGGTCTCATTATCTGAGATATTCTTGCCCATGGAGTGATTTACTGGCTTGTAGTCTGTTTCCCACCCCTACATACTTGCCCATCTTGCCCTAGCAGCTATCCCGTAGATGTTTCCAGAATGACTGGAAGGAAGAAGTAAAAGAAGGAGGACACCTCGTAACCTCCCATCAGCCTGGCCCCCCCGTCACCACCACCCCCTGGATGCTGCCAGTTCTCCATCCTGCCCTCTGTGCCTCACCTGTCCCACCCAGCCCCACGTACCTTTCTGCACTTTGAGCTGTATGCCAGGGGACAGCATCTTCCTGTTGCCCACCTGGGCGCTGCATTGGTAGACTGAGCTCTCAAGGTATATGGCCTTGTGGATAGTGAAGCCATGCCATCTCGAGAAGGAATAGTTGGTGTTGTGCCGGATGGGCCGGTTCCGCTCCCGCACCAGCGACACACCAGCCTCCAGCTCTGGATTGGTGAGCATGCAGGGCAGCAATGCATCTTGATTCTCAAACACCGTCACCTCCTTCACAAGGACATTCCAGGGATGGAAAGGGTCTGAGGTAGGGAGGGTACAGAGTTATAACTGCCCTCTTTCTAGCAGGTCAGTTGAGCAGTACCCAGACAGTGGTGAAGGGGAGGTATGGAGAGGTTCATCATTTGCCCAGAGTCACATAATAGCAGGACAGTTCAGCTGATGCTTCAGGGAGACTCTGGAGTCAGATGTACCTGGGTTCTAATCCCAGCCCCAGCACTTGCTGCTGTGTGACTTTGCTTCAATAACTCAACCCCTCTGAGCCTCTGTAAAATGAGCATCCTCCTAGGACCTCCCTCTCAGGGTTATTGAAGGACTCCATTAAATTGAAAGTGCTACACTTGTTCATTGCATCACTATTCACACTATTCACAATAGCAAAAAGATGGAAACAACCTAAATGCCCATCAATAGAGAAATATATCAGCAAACTATGGTCCATACACACAATGGAATACTACGCAATGTTAAAGAACAGTGATGAATCTGTGAAACATCTCATAACATGGATGAATTTGGAGACCATTACACTAAGTGAAATTAGTTAATTATAAGAGTACAAATATTGTATGAGACCACTATTGTAAAAGGTCAAGAGAAGGGTTTCAAAAATAAAAAAAAAGAATTGTTTTTTGACTATAACCAGGGGTGGGTGGGGGTAAACCACTAACTAGAGGGTAGACACATATTAACTTGTGTGACTACTGTTTATAAGAAAAGCTAGCAGCAATATTACTTAGTTAATTAAAAGGGCAGCCCCAGGTCCTTGCTCATAGTAGGCCTCAACAAGCAGGGTCCTGGTATCGTTCTGATTGTTTGTATTGCTCCCCCCACCTCCCACTCCTGGTGAGGACTGCTGGAACAGGCCTCTTGGTTGTGGAGCAGTCCTCACCTTTCACAAAGAGGTGGATGGTGGCGTTGCCCCCCGAGCGGTCTGCAGGCTCAGTGCAGCGATAAGTCTCCGTGTTTTGGAAGGTAGCATTGGTTGTGGTCAGGATGCTACTGGAGTTCTCAGAGTCCAAGGTCCAGCCAGGGGAGGTGGGGCTGTCCCATTTCACGCTACCGTTGCCCACACATCGCAGGGTCACCATTGTGCCTGGTGCCACAACCAGCTCAGGTCCTTGGGGCCCTATAACTGGGACCCCCTGACCTAGGGAAAGGACAGAATTGCAGAGAAAATGACATGTTGGTTCCCCTCAGGGCATCACCTGCCTCTGAGATGGTGATGCCCTGGCAGGACAGGTTTGGATGCTGGGTTGGGCCAAGCCTTGGCTCAGCTACAATTTGCGGGATCACCTTGACCAAGTCCCTATTCCTCTCTGGTCATTTGCTCAGCCTTCAACCCCAAACCTGCTCCAGGTGAGATGGTGTTTCTGATACGCAACAGCCCCTCTTCATTCAAATGGAGAAGAGGAAACGAAACGTTGGCTCTGAACCCTTAAGAGTGGGAAGGTTTCAAGAGTTGTCCCACCTTTAGTCTCGTGGTATGTTTCAGAGTGTGGATTCTTGAGTCAAGCTGCCTGGATTTCAGTTTAACACCTGTGAGCACTGGACAAGTTACCTAACCTCTCTGTGCCTCAGTTTCCACATCTATAAAATGGGTACTATAATTGCACCCATTCATTGGGATGTCAGGAGGCTTAAATGCATGGAAAGCTTTAGAACATCACCTGTCACCAAGTACTCAACAAATATTAACCATCATGTTCATCATCTAGTTTATCCCCAGCACCCATTCCTGTGCCCCAGCACTGTAGTGTTTACTGGAGATCCAATCTCTTTTAAGGAAAATTTTCTTGAAGGAGAAAAGAGAACTTGAAACCCATACTGGGCCCTCCGGGAAAAAGGCCCGTTGCCTCTTCAGTGTCAGCATTTTTCCAGGGCCTAAAATAGGGCCAAAGGAGGGAAGTGAGAGCTGATTCAAGGCCTTGGAGGGGCTGCCAGGCACTGCTGGCCAGAGTGCGAGAGGAAACACATTGCTGGCGCCTGGGCCCAGCCCCCAGTTTCCGCTCAGCCCACAGACCTTCTCCCAGGGATGTTCTCACTTCTGCTTCCTGGCCTTCCTAGCCTCTGTCACCTTTCCAAGAGATAGACCCCCAGACTTGGTGTGCCACCTGCTGGACATTGAAACACCCTGGGTTCCTGAACTGTGAGCCTGGCTCTGCCACTGACTGACTCACTAGGTGACCTTGACAAATCCAACTCCCTCAGCTCTAGACTCTTTTTCAGGGGGTGGGGCACAGCAACACTCCAGTGCTGGCCTCTGAGCCCTGGGGGAGTCAGGCTTCTCCATTTTTCTCCATAACAGCTCCTTAAATGGATATCCCTCCCTGTGTAGACCTCAGATTTGGAAAGACCTTCTCTGTCAAATAGTTTTGGATGGCTTAATTTATATTTAGATTTTGTATCCATCAGAGATATGTAGCCTCTCTTTGATCAGCCTAAGGGATCAAGTGAACCATAAGTACTGCCAAAGCTGACCCCTGGGTGTTCTCTGTAGCTCTCATGTGTTGTATGAATACCAGGGGAGAGGACATGTGTCATTTCTGGCAGGCTTTCTGCATATTTGAATGGAGCTGCCTCTGCCCATTACTACCAAGGCAATCCAGCCCCTCAAGTGGGGTTTTACTGCAGGAAAGAACTTGAACTGTGAGGTTACACCAACTTGAGTTTGGAATTTGGTTCTCCCTCTTAGTAGCTAGCTAGGTTGCTTAACTTCTCTGCTTCTCTCAAAGTAGTAATCTGAGTTCCCATCTCTGAGACCAGTTGCCAGTGAGTCAACTTTGACTCAATGTCAACCCACGTGTGTCAGAGTAGAACTGTGCTCCATAGGGTTTTCAATGGCTGGCTTTTCAGAAGTAGATCACCATGCATTTTTTCCGAGGTGATCCCTCAAGACTTTAACCCCAAAGTCACGGTCTATAACTGTAATATCTCAGAACTTCAAATGCTGTGATTCCATGCTGTGTTCTGTTTCTGCACCTTCTGGCCACATAGGCAGCTTCCCCTCCCCTGGCCTGTTCTTCAAACTCCTGCCTTGGCTTCCTGAAAATGTGGTCAGAGAGAGGCGCCTGTCCTGTTTGGTCCTATCCTGTTGTCTTGGATATTCACGCAGGACAGGGCTGACACCCTCAACTTCTACCTCCCACTTCCCCCTGTTGGTGTGGCTGGCAGGAAGGGAAAGCCTGCTAAGCTCCTCTCCTCCCTCGGAGGGGGGACAAGGACTTGATAAGCACCAACCACAAGCCCATTCTGTGCCTGTCCTGCCTTCAACTCTCATCTTAGCTCTCAAGTCCTGCCCCCAACCCCCTGGCCTACCAGACCCTTCCATCAGCAGCTCCATGCGCCCCATCAAATACACAGTACACCAAGGCTTGGGACTCAGCCCCTCCTGAATTCCAGTATCTGGTCTCAATGACCAAGAGAAACAAGCCTCTCTTCAGTTTTAGGGTGCTCTGACACAATTCTCCAACTTCTTCAGAGCACCTGCACCCCCCAACTCACTCACCACTGGTCTGTTGGGCAGAAAGCCTGGATTTCCAGCCCTTGTCCCCTATATCATCTGTCTCCTGGGACTGGATGTTAGACAGCCACCCACAACCCCCTATAGACAGGTTCCAGGAGTGAGGACAGAACAAGGCAGCAAAATCAAACTCAAGGATTCCCATCTGGGTGATGAGAATGTTCTCAATCTCAATTGGGATGCTGGCTGCACAAGTGTATACATTTGTCAAAATCCATCAAATTGTACACTTGTGAACCTGTGCTTTCTATTGGATATAAATCATACCTCAACAAAAGGACAAACTCTATACCCAAGGAAATCATCTGGACCAGAAGAAGACCTTTAATGGGCCATCTTCTCATCAGGGACCAGCCATGCCAACTCCCTAAGGTCCTGCAGTCCTTGACTGTTGGAAACTAGAGCTAAGGTTATCTGCAGTGGCACTGCCAAGGGGTGGCTTGGAGCTTTAGCTATCTTCATGCAAGCTCCATAATCCCCCAAGTCCCCTTCAAATAAGCATATGACTAAATATGAACCATGCTGGCTGGCCAATTATAGCTACAAGCCAAGCACACTAGCCCTTCACCTGCAATTTGGGTCTCCCCTAGATGGAAAATTTGTGGTCACTACTGTTGCATGGATGATGGTGGGGTCTCCCGCACATCTCCCTGTCTGGTAGGGCTCTGGCTTGGGATACCCTGGCTGCCCTGCCTGTTAGGCTTACCTTCAGCCCTAAACCTCTCTGTCCCTACATTTCCATCTCCTGAGCCCTGGCCAGAGGCCATCCCTTTGTTTCTCCTTTCCAACCCCTTACCCAAGGCTTCTAACTAAGGAACACAGTCCTGCTCACTTGTCCCTTTGGGCCTTTCCATGCCAAGTCTTGCTTAGAATCACAGAATCACAGGCCTGAAGGGACCAGTGAGCAGGGCTGTGGTCCTTAGTTGGAAGCCTTGGGTAAGGGATTGGAAAGGAAAGACAAGGGGCCCTTTAGAGCCTTCCCACTCAGTGTCAGTCTGGACCAGCAGCATCACCTCACCTGGCAACTTGTTGGAAATGTAGGATCTTAGATTCCACCTGAGATTACTGAGTCAGATTCTGCATGGTAACAAGATCCCCAGGTGATCTGGGTATACAATAAATTAGAAAACTGTTGCTCTAGTCTAGTCTAGTCTAGTCTATCACCACCCTTCTATCTGACACTGAATAGGTGTCAACACCGAAACATTGACTGTAACAGGGACTTGTTCAGGCACACAATTAGTCGGTGTTTAAACTGGAATGGATATACCACTTTGGGCCAGGGTAGTTCCCCCTCACCCACACTCTCTTTTCCCTCCACTGCCTCTCCAAAGCAGATTCTCACAGACCTGCAGTCTAATGCTGCAGAGATGGGAACAGAGTGCAGATACCCAGTAAAGGATAGGGGCTCATAGAATCCTTCCACAAGGGCTTTCTCTGCCATATTTCCTCCCAATTCCCCCAGTTCTGTTCTTACCATGCCAAGCTGCAGCCACCAGCAGGACCAGCAGAGCCCACAGGCCCATGGCCACAGTGAGAAAGATTCCAGGTTGATGCAAGACTGGAGGTTGAGCAGAGCCCTGGGTTCCCAGCTACTAGCTCCGTGAGGATTGAGATCACTGGAAACACGTTCCTCTTCACTGCACTGGCTGTTGTCTTCCTCCTCTTCCTCCTCCTTGGGCTGATCTCCTGCTTCCCTTTTTTCTCTTTTTTTTTTGCTAGGCAAGGCAACCACAGTGTTTGGAAATCTTGGGTCTTTAGAAGAAAACAAAGCCATGACCCCCAAGGGGAGGGGTTGGAGCCTGGGGCGTTGCTGGTCTGAGCCTGGGGAGATATGGGTAAGTTTAAGGCCCTTCTGAAGCCATCTCCCAGGGGTTCTGGGAGAAAAGACTTGCCCAAGTTCGGGTAGTCAGTCAATAGCACAAATGCAGGTCTCCAGAGTGGCCAAAGAGCTCTAGATGAGCCAAAAGGGACACTAGGTTGATTTTAGAAAGCATGATAATAACATCAAGAAGCCTCCGTTTAGAGGACACTCACCAGTCAAGCCCTTTACATTCATTTTCTCCTTTGGTTCCTGCAGAAGTTTATATGGTAGGTACTGTGATTATTCCCATTTCACAGATGGGGAAACTGAGTCTCAGAGAGATCAGAAAACTTGGACTTATCCGTGGTCACACAGCTACCAATAGTGGAGGTGGGATTTAGAAACCCAGTGAGGTTAGGGAAAGGGAACAGAAAACCCCTCTACTCTGGGAAAAGTTCAGGAATACACATTGGACCCAGACATACAGCAAGAGGCAGCACAAAAGCCCCACCACTAAGACCGAGGGACACAGTGAGGCTTAATCAGAACAGCAGAGTCCTCTCCACTTATCATCAGGCTAACAGATGTTGAGTAACAACTAATGGCAAACTACAGCTGGGAGCGTTAAGATAAGTTCTTCTGGCAAAAGGAATTTATACCAAGCAGAAATTTGGATCTACACACACACAAATAAAGAGTGCTGGAAAAAGAATAAATAAAAGTTACACACACACACACACACACATATTAGGCTTTGTGGACCATACAGTTGCAATTACTTAGTTCTGCCACTACAATGCAAAAGCAGCCATAGACACTACTTAAATTATTGAATGTGTCTGTGTTCCAACAAAATCTTATTTATTTAAAAAAAAAAAAAAAAGTCAACAAGCTATAGTTTGCTGATTCCTGATCTAAAGCAAATAGTGAAAGGGTAGGAGGGAGGGGGAAATGGGAAGTTTTTGTTTGTGGGGCACTGAGTTTATGTTAATTGTGGTAGAATGTTTTCAAGGATAGCAATTGTGGTGGCACAACATGAAAAATGTCATCAGAGTCCCTGAGCTGTAAATGTGGAAGTTGTTATGTTGGTGAATGTCTTGGTGTGTGTTTTCACTGCAATAAAAGTAAATAATAAATAGTGAGATACACTATGTTCATGATCAGAAGACCCAATATTATAAAGCATGTCAATTCTCTCCTAAGTTGATCTATAGACTCAACAAAGTTCCAATCAAAATCTCTGCAGGAATTTTTTGAAGAAATTGAAAAGTTGATTCTAAAATTTACATGGAAATAAAAATGGACTAGAATAGCCATAACAATTTAGGAAGGAAAGAACCAAGTTGGATTTACACTACCTGATTATAAAGCTACAGTATGGGACTGGAGAGAGAATAAACATGTACCTCAATGGAACACAATAGAGTCCAGAAGCAGAGCTGCACAGATATAGTCAATTGATTTTTGACAAAGTTGCAAAGACAATTCAAAACAGAAAGGATAGTCTTTCCGAAACTTCATACTAAAACAACTGGATATTGATATGCAAAAAATTAAAACAAACCTTGATCTATACCTCAAACATTATGTAAAAAATTAACTCAAATAGATCAAAGGCCCAAATGTTAAAAAATACAACTATTACAAGATAATAGGAAAGTCTCTGTGACCTTGGGAGATAGGTAAAGATTTATTAGACAACACCATAAGCATGATCCACAAAATAAATTAATAAAATACTGATAAATTGGACTTCATCAAAATTAAGACCTTCTACTCTTTGAAACAAATGAATAAAAGAATTAAAAGACAAGCCACAGACTAGGAGAAAATATAGGCAAAAAAAATTAATAAGGAGGATATATAGATGGCAAATAAGCATGTGGAAAGGTGTTCAACATCAATATTTTTTTTAGAGAAATAAACAAATAAAGCACAATGAAATACCACCACATATAAGAATGGCTAACGGTAAAAAACTCAAAAAAAAAAACAAAAAAAAAAAAACCTTCAAACAAAAGGTAAAAAGAGGGAGCCCTGATGGTGCAGTGGTTAAAGCATTTGGCTACTAACCAAAATGTCGGTAGTTCAAACCCACTAGTTGCTCCACAGGAGAGAGATACAGGAGTCTGCTTCCATAAAGATTTGCAGCCTTGGCAATCCTGTGGGGCACTTTTATTCTGTCCCGTAGGGTTGCAATGAGTCAGAATAGACTCTATGGCAGTGGGGTTTGATTGCTTTTTAAAGTAACAAAATAAAAGTTGACAATTTCAAGTGCTAACAAGGATGTGGAACAAGCAATTGAAATTCTTGTACAGTGAAAACTGTGAGAGTGGGAACTTGCCAGGACTGCCTTGTTTTGTTGTCTTTTAAAATTGTGATTTGGGTGAGCATTTACGGAACAAATTGGTTTTCCATTCAAATTCTGTTTTGTGACATTTACTGCCTTGATCTCTACACTGTAACAGCATTCTTCCCACTTCCTCCCTATGCTTACCCCTTCCCTTCTTTCCTTCTTTCCAGCCCCTCCTTCCTAGCTCTATCCCTGGGCAAATGCTATCTTCTTTTTTTTTTTTAATTAATTAATTTATTTTTATTTGGGTGAAGATTTACAGAGCAAATTCAGTTTCCATATAGCAGTTCACATATACTTTGTCTCATGTCATTGACCACAGTTTACCACAATGCAATAGCTCCCCTCCCACTTTCTCCCCATAGTGACCTCTTCCCAGTGACCATCCCTCCGTACTCTCCTGCGCCCTGAGCTGTCTCCCTGTGCATAAGCAGCTCTTCGTTTTCCCATGATTATTCTCTATAGGGCGTGTGTCTACTTGAGGTAAATGTTTAACTCACATGCCTGTACATTGTTTGGCTGGCAACCACAGGTGTGGGTTCAATTCCAGACCTGAAGGGCAGCCAGGGGACATAGTCTCAGTGGAAATGCTATCTTCTTGATGTCATTTGCTTGATTGTTGTAGTGAGTGCATACCCTCCAGATATTACTGTTCACCTTATAGGTCTGTCTATCAATGGGCAGCCGGTTGCGTCACAGGGGTTAAGTTCATTTCCTAGCTTGAAGGGTGTCTAAGGGCCATCATCTTGGGGTTTCAACTAGTCTTCATCAGCCCAAGTAAGCTTGGTCTTTTTTTTTTTTTTTTTTATGATTTTGAGTATTGTTTCACATTATCCCCTCTCAATCCAGGACCTCTTATTGTGATTCCTTTCAGAGTGGTCAGCAGTGGTAGCCGGCACTGTCATGTTCTTCTGATCTCAGCGTCATGAAGGCTGGAGTTCATGTGCTTAATGAGTCCTTTGGACTAGTTTTTTCCTTCTTCTTCGATTTTCTTCACTCTTCTTTGCTCTGGACAGGGAGAGACCAATAGTTGCTCCTCAGATGGCAACTAAGGTTTTAAGGTTTTAAGACCCTAGTCACTATTCACCAAAGGAAGATGTACAACATTGTCTCTGTGGACTAGGTAATGCCAATTGACCTTAGTGTCCCCCAAGACTATGGTTCTAAGCCTCCATACCTAGTGACTCCTTCCCTCAAGGTTTTTGGTTGTAACAAAGCATTTTCCGAACTCTGTCCTCCGTATGCTCTACTACATTCATGGATATATTTGTAGCACATATAAATATATAGGTAGAGATAGCCTCTGTCAAACCTATGTACATACATATTTGTGGATATAATCCCATTTGCCTTCTTGCCTCTGTTTAGCTTGGTGTCTATGCTTTCACTCTTAAATTATTGTTATTACTATTATTGCAGGATTGTGAAGGTATCAGTATTCACCTTTGTTGCTTTAACTCTTGTGCTCCTCCCTATCTCTTCTACTGTCTTGATCATTTTGTGTGGACCTCACCCTTATTGTATATTGCCTTACCCTTCACCCAAGTTAATGTGTGTCTACCCTTTTGTTCCACCCTTCACCTCTCAACCCTGGTAACCTTCAAAAAACAGTTCTTTCTGTGTGTAAACATTTTTTAAAAAAACTTTTTACAATACTGGTCTCATATAATAATTGTCCTTTTGTGATTGACTAACTTCACACAGCATAATGTCCTGTAGGTTCATCTATGTTATGAGGTATTTCACAGATTCACCATTATTCTTTAATGTTGTGTAATATTCAATTGAGTGTATGTACTATCATTTGTTTATCCATCCATTGATGGACACTTAGTTTGCTTTAGCTTTTTGCTATTGTGAATAATGCTGTGACGAGCAGGGATGTGCATATATTTCTTCACATCATGGCTCTTATTTCTCTAGGATATATACATAATAGTGTATCATATGGTATTTCTACTTCCAACTACTTAAGGAAGCACCATACCAATTTCCATAGTGGTTATACCATTTTATAATCCCACCAGCAGTGTATGAGTGTTCCAGTCTATCTGCATTTTCACCAGCATTTGCTGTTTTCTGTTTTTTGGAACTTTGCTATTAGTGCTGGGGTGAGATAGTATCTCATTGCTGTTTTGATGTGTATCTCTCTAATGGCTAATGTACAACAACAACAATGGCTAATGATCGTGACCATTTCTTCATATGTTTGTTGGCTGCCTGAATGTTTTCTTTGCTGAAGTGTTTGTTCGTGTCCTCTGCCCATTTTTTTTTTTTTT